TAAACAGTAACAGAAAAAAAAACATGCTTTTTTAGTAACTTTTTTTTGCAATAGCTTCTTCTCAAAATTAAGCTTCATACTGAATAGGCTATGTAAAATATTTCCAAATAAAATAACTATTGGTTTTGAGGCAAATTTATTTTGCTTACCTCTCCTACTCATAAAGAAAAATGGTACTTGAATTATGTAAAAATGAGACAACAGTTGCTTTCAAAAAAATGGATATTTCATTTTTTTCTGTATTTATATAAGCTTTCTAGCGATTGTCAAAAATCTGTGTCTTATGGAATATTAGACAATGCTTTTTTTAATTTGTACTATTAAAGAGCATTTGTAATTTGTTTTTATCTATAAACTTACGATACACTGGAATTACTACTTTAATGAAAAGTTTATATGATACATTGATAATATTATCGCTTGTAATAAAACTTTAATTGCTAATTACTCGAACTATTCAAATATATTTATTAGAGAAATTTTCACTGTCCTAATGACACGTAAAATACCAAAAAAAAATAATTCATTGAAAATTCTTTAGAAAGTAGCATCAAAAAGTAGTAATCTGAAAAGCTGTAAAGCAAACAAAGCAATTTTTTGTTATAAACCCGGGAAAGCAACTTTTTCTTTGCTGATTGTAAACAAGTAGCCAAAAAAAGTTGAGGTGAAAAAAAATTTGCTTAGGCACAAATTAAAAATCAAGAATAGTTTCGAATTTTTTCTGAGAAAAAGAAGATATAAATTCTGCGGATACCTCAGGGAACAGATATCAAAGTGCGGAAAGCAAATTGATGAGAATTATCACAACTCACTTTGCAGTTTAGTAGGCTAAAGATTTTCTGATGCTTATTTAACACCTGATTATTGTTTTTTTCAATAGGAACATCTCTAGTAAGAAGAGCTTAGTAGAATCTAAACGTAAGTGTTGGAAATCTGTGGCAAAACAACGATGAATTTAATCAAGTTTTTTCGAGAAGACTTCGCAATTTATTTGCTCAACTGTCAGTCGACAACGTTAGACGTAATTAGGATACATAAAAGTCGTGATAGAGCAGAGAAACAATGAGCCCACAAGGAGCATCATCCTACAGTGTACTGCTTTAAGAACTTCACTATGGCCGAAAATTTTTTAGTTTTACTTGTTATTTCAAGTTCAAAGAAATGAGCTTTACTCCATCGAGAAATGCTGGTAACTTCAAGAAGAATCTTTGGTAAGTTACTGATTCTGTCAAAAATTTTTTGATTTTATATGCCCTTAACTTTTTCGTACTTTTCCTTTCTGCGTAAGGTCGGTGCGCATTGAAAATAAATGCAGTTGTTTGCCTATTGCATTGAATTATCAAATGCTTTCTTCAAGTTTAAAAAACATTATGACTTTTCAACTTTAAGACTATTTTCTGCTTTTTTTTTAGGATAGAATTTACCGCTCTCGCAGCAAAATATGCAAAAGCAAACATTGGACAGGTAAAGTGTCAGCAAAGCTATTCTTTACTCTTTTTTTGCGATTAAAGTTACTTGCCATTACACTGTGGCTAAATTTAGCCTAACAATCAGTGTTTAGTCTTTAAATTTTTTGTAATAATTAATGTCTACCAATTAATCAAGTTTTAACAGTTTCAAACTTTTAAGGCGTAAAAATATGAATCATGAATAATGATGCAGCGCAATAATAGCGTTTATTTTCAGGGTTTTTACGATGGGCCGTTCCCAACCTTTCTTGCAAAAATTCTACGGGATGTTGCAGAGCACCCAGAAAAGACTGAATGGCATCAATACACAAGCGGATTTGGTCATAGCAGGCTGGTAATTTTTTTCTTTTTTTTCTTCAAATGCTTCATTGACCTAAACAGTTAATTAGGTAGTTTTAGACAGTTTTAACGGTAGCATATA